TAATGAGTAACTATTATTTAAATATTATTGAAATAATTAATAATTAAGTTAGTTCTTTGCCACAACACTAATAAATGTCACAAAAGTACTGTGATTTTGATTCAACAAATAAAAGAATTTGTAATTCTATGCCTGAAATTATGTAATTTTATGTCCACAATTTCGTACAATTGTATACAGAAACAAATGAAATAAGTACTACTTCGAATTTAGTAATTAAGTAATAAAATCGTCAAAGCCCTGAAAATAAATAATTGAATTAAATACTTGTTTAATTATTAATTATTTATTTCTTTGCAATTAATTACGCAATTAATTAATAATACGTCCACATTAATTCGTTGCGTAATTAATTACACTGGTTAATTAGTAAGTCAATTATTGGAAAATGGTAAATCGGTCAATTAAAAAAATTTATTGACTTCCTTGTTTAACTGATCTAAAATGGACATCATGATTGGAGTAGTTAGTAATTTAATTCGTCTGTCTATTATTATATAATAGTAAATAAATTTATCATAAACAAAAAACTGTCAGATAACTGAATTCTAAATGTTAATTAAAAAGTTGGTAATATTGTTTATGAACGTCCTTCGCCATATCACTTTTCTTTAGTTACATTACAAGATGGCATACACTTGAATTTAACATCGAAATCAATTTGTTCTTCAGAAAGAAAAGAATTATTGTCATCTTTTTCTATGTCTTCTTCGTTTTCTTCATTTTCGTCGTCTTCATCTTCATCTTGTTCAAGTAATTGCTTTCGAGCCATTTGAACTACTTGCCATTCTCGATAATGTCGCTTTCTCTTTGCTTCAAATGCTTTTCGTTTTTCTAAAATTTTTATACGTGAATTGTAATATGTTTTTACTATTGAGAATGATATTTTGATAATTATCATTTTTTGGATCAATTTATATTGCTTATTTTTTACGTAATTTATTTTTAATAGTGTACTTGTATAACTTCTACTTTTAATAGTGATTATAGTAAAGAGTAATAGTAATTTCAATAGTAAATATGTATAAACAATTGCAAAATATATATAATGCATTTTCTTAAAAAATATATAAAATTCTGTATGCATAATAAAGTTATTGAATGTTATGAATTGTTTAAAAATTGGTAACACAATTTCTTACCTCTTTCTTCAAGAGTTTCCTTCTCTTCTTCATCTTCACTTGATTCCTCAAATATTTTTGGTTTACTACCTTCAGCCAATCTGCAGAAATTAAGAAACAAATTCGTTGAATTTAAATTCATAATAAATCAAATTATAAAATAAATGTAATATTTATTAATT